TATAGTTGGAAATAGGGGATAGGTACCCCTAGGAGCAAAACAATGATAGGAGGTTGGAATGGGTCCGTCTAGGACCCTGTGATGGAATGGGTGGCCCAGGGAATGACCTCTTACCTCCTTCCCAGGCAGGTGAAGCAACCAGTGTGGAGTTGTAGTAGGCTGGCTCCAGAATAGGGTGAAAGGAGGGCTCTGAAGTTGTTCAACTCAGGCCAGTCCTAGACTTGAAAGCCTTGGCCCTTCTTATTGTTTCAGTGGTTAGCTGGCTCTTACCTGGCCTCCATGGGGATCTAGGCAGCCCCTGATACCCTCTCTGAGAAGTTCTTCCAGACCCCTCCTGAGGGGCACTTATATAACAGAGTCAGAATCCCTAGGGTGACCTGAAGAATCGCCAGCGTGCCCCCAATAATCCCTTCTTTTAGGGCTTCTGAGAGATGGGTGCAGGCCTCATCAGCAAGGCCAGGGGCACAGGCTCAAAGGAAAAGCTGCTCAAGAGGAAGGTCACTAAGCCCTGTCTCAAATCCTGTGAAGAGATTCCATTCTGCCTTCTATACCCCAAGTCCAGTACAAGGAGGGACAGATAGACAGAGAGAGATAGAAATAAAGGGTCCCAGGCCTCTGGTATTGTCATATGTAATACACACTAAATCTGAATCTAAGAGATTTCCCATGGTGTCTGAGTCCCCAGGTAGTAAGGGAACCAGCTATCTAGGTATTTTCCTTGAGCCAGGCTAAATGATGGCCCCAGGCTGGAACAGGGTACGCTTCTAAAACAGACACATTGGCCAGTTGGTTGATGTCAGTCCATCTATCATGGCCGAGGAGACAAGAGTGTGATTTCATTGGTATGGAACCTCTCGTTCTTTTGCTGCCACATCACAGACTGTGCATCATTCATGTCCTGTTCTTTTTTTTTTTTTTTGGTAAGGCAATTGGGGTTAAGTGACTTGCCCAAGGTCACATGGCTAGTATGTGTCAAATATTTGGTCTGAGGCTGGATTTGAACTCAGGTCCTCGTGACTTCAGGATCGGTGCTTTATCCACTGTGCCACCTAGCTGCCACTCATATCCTGTTCTTCAAGTCATCCCTCACAACACTCTCCACCTGAGAAGCAAAGTCCAAGAAAGGGAGAGGGACAGACAGACAGAGAGAAAGCAACCAGGGGAAGAGGAGGGAAAAAAAGAGACAAAGATGGAGAAATAGTAGACAAAGAGACAGGGAGACAAGAGACGGGGGGACAAAAGAAAGACAGAAAGGAAATAGAGAAGTAGAGATAGAGATGGAGAGAGAAGAGGCAGGGAAACATCGAGAGAGGAGAAATAAGGAGGTGAGGATTAAGGAGTAGTAGCAAAAGAGGCGAAAAGTGGATGAGAAGAGAGACAGGGAAAGAGAGGAAGACAATCAAGAGCTCTGGATGAGACCCCTTTTCATGGCTGTTGGGTGCCTGTTGACACTATGCTGCCATCCCTGAGTCCCCAAGTTCCCTCCCACTTCCAGGGCCCTACTTCCACTCATAAGCACAGGGACCTATGGGGCTGGGCTTTCTGTTTACTTGCCCTAGGCTACCTCAGTTGGCTCTTGAGACAACAAGCCAAGAGGCTCACCAGAGAAATACAGGTTAGCGGGTCAAGGTCAGACAGTCTTTGTACATACCTTGTCAGCTATCACAAGCTGGTAGACTATTTGAAGGATGAGGTAGGCATTGAGGACCTGCAGGGCCATCAGGAGGGTATTGCACAAATAGTATAGAAAGAAAGGCTGGTAGTCTATCATGGAAACATTGTAGGTAGTGAAGAGGACTCTGGCAAGAAAGAGAAGAGCTCAGGTCATAGTAGGGGCCAGGCCCCTAGGAACACTGTAGGTGACAGGCCTCTAGATACCCCAGGGTCACAAGGGAGATCTTTCTCAAAATGAAAGGGAGAGGGCTTAGTGTGAAGTCCCGAGGGTAGATGAACAGAATTCCGAAAGGACCCTCAGATGCTTCTCAAGTCTCAACTCCAGCAGGGTTCAGAGCCACTCCTCCTGCCAAGTTCACCCCATCTCCTGAGAACAGGCTCACTTGGTTGGGAAAAGAACAAGACAGTGAATGAAGAACACCAGTGCAAAGATAATGAAGAGTGTGTCACACATGTACCCCCATGGGTGTAATTGAATATTGTACAGGCCTGGGAGGGGAGGAAAGAGAAGGAACCTTAGAATCACATAATCTCAAAGTGTAACTCCTCCAAACTATACTTGACCAGGAATCCCCTCTCTAACTTCTCAACCAGTGGCCATCCAGCCCCTTCTTGAAGATCATTAGTGATGGGGAACTCACTACCCTTTTTACTTTCTGATAGTTCTGTTCCTTGGGAAGTTTTTCTTAAGACGCAACCTCAGTCTTCCTCTCTGCACCTCCCCTCTCTCCCTTTTCCTGGTTCTACTCTCTTGGGCCAAACAGAATAAATTTCTCCATGTATTAGACTAAAACTACTTGATATCAGCTATTAGTCTTGCTTCCCTTGCTCAAGCCTTCCCACTTTCAAGTCAAACAGCTTTCATTCCTTCAAATGACTCATGTTAGGCAAGGGCTTCATTCCTCTCAATATCTTGAGGCAGCTAAGTGGCTACAGTCAAGAAGATCTGAGTTCAGATCCGACCTTAGACACTTACTAGCTGTATGACCCCGGGCAAGTTACTTAACCTATGTCTACCTCAGTTTTCTCAAGTGTAAAATTGGGATAATAACAAATCTTACTTTGCAGTTACAGTTTAACTGTCATTCTATGAGGAGACTGAGAGTTTAATGAGACAAATTATGAGATGACAGAGAAAAGGGATGAAGAGAACATTTTCCCTAAGAGAACCATTTTAATTCTAGTAAAGAAAAATAAAGGGAATTCCTTAGAAGAGATTTTAATTGACATATTGATTGATAGATCTTGAGGAGTTCATTGGTGAGCTTGAGTTTCCAGAATTGAGAAGGGCAGTGAGGGTTAGAAGTGACTTTGGAAGTGATCTTTAAGATAGCTGATACATTAATAAATACAATAGTAAATAATATAATAATAAAAATTATTTGTGTCATTGTTTTAATTTTTGTTATACTAGTAATCAGTTTGATAGACTGTAACTTTGATATTTATTTAAGCCTATGAATTTCAGGGGTTAATATAGAGGGTGAGATAAATAAAAGTTTATAAGAAAAGTGATTTCTCAGGTTTTTAAATGGATAATATTTATTATACCATCATTTATCCAAGTTAATTGATTAATGGCAGATAATAAAATGTTAATAATTAATATGGAAATGTCATTGCATACCCGTTGATTATAATCCAAATCAGAATAATTATTCCACATAGACTACATGTGGTTTAGTCAACCCTAAACCTTGGCAAACTAAGATATCATTTATTTCTTTATTTAAATTATCTAGGGCCTCTGTGCCCTGAGGCTCTGTGAAGATTCTCAGCGTTATACCTACTCTACCCTGCTCAGCTCCCAGTGTTTCAGCCTCACCTCTGCCTAGACTTAGAGCCTTCCTCTCCTGCCACATGAAAAGTCGTGACCAAATATGGAAGAATGATAGAATCTCAGAGCTGGAAGAGAACTTGAAATATACATGCATGTCATTACCATGTTCCGGAAGCCTGAGCAAGAGGCATGATTAGGGCCCTGCAGTGGGAGCAAATGAACTTGGGGCAGCTCTGTGCCTTTCTCTGGTCTGAAGCTTGGTTTGTTTACTTCTATGAGAAAAGCAGCATTACTGACATGCAGGCAATTGGCACAATAAGGGAAATAGGTCAAGGTGGTGGCAATGAAGTGGTGGATGATCTACTCCTTGAAGTTCTGGGAAGAAGAGGGCAGTCATCAGACCAGTCCCTATAGGACTTTCCTGGATTTGAAGCTGGCCTAGCCTATGCTAAGGGTTAGACTGTGACCTATGGTTTAGGTGCATGACCCTACCCATCACCCTGTGAGAAGGCTCTGAAGGGAGTCCTGGATCTGTCGAGGGAAGGGAGAGACACCCCAGATGAAACACGAGCAGAAGAAGCAAGATAAGAATATGGGAAGGGGTATGTTGGGTGGAGGAGAAAGTGCATGGTGGGAGAACTGGAGACTAGGTCAAATATAGATGCAGGGAGAGTAGCTGTAAAGGGTTACACTGTTTGTTAAGCTGAACTAATTTGGATCCCTTGCCTGGTGTTCAGTGGAACATACTGACCCTGAACTAATAGGACCTGTCTTGGCTGTTTACATGGGACCTGGCTTTGGGCATGGCCCTGGGGACTGAACTTGAGAGAGGGCCAAGATTAGCACTTTTTTCTGGAGGTGAAAAGTTGAAAACAGGGCCTTCCCTCTCATGCTCTTATCTTGCACTGGGAAGATAGGAGAATTTCCTGTTAAATTCTTACCATACTCACCTTCCTCTTTACATCAAAGGGCAGAGTAAGCAACAGAGAGAGGTGGAAGCCAAGCACCAGTAGGTACCACCAGTACATGGCTACCTGCAGAAGCTGAGGGTCAAAACAGTCACTTGGTCTGATGAGATTGAAGAAAAACACAGGAGACATGGGAGGATTGAATCTGATCAGGGATTCATGTGCCCTGAAAGCAAGTCCCTTGCCTTATGCCTCCTCTACCACGCCAGGCTGAATACTTTGAAATTCAAAATTAACTCCGTTTTGTTTGGTTCTTTCAAATATTAATTGTCCTTCACTTTGTGAGCTATGCCTTGTTTTTATTATAAAATCATATGATTATGAGGGAATTAAGTTGTTGAGACAGTTATGAGAAACTGGGGTAATGGATGTTGACCCACAAAATGTTTTGTACATCTTGTAGTGTTTCTTGTAATAACCGCAGAATATTCCAGAATGTTTGTAAAATGTTCCAGTATGTACTGGAAATAACTGCAAGACATGTAAAACTCTCCCCAATCAGAAGAGAGAAAGCCCACGTTATTCAATATTGTACAAATTGATTGGTTCCTCATTACTGACTATTAAAAAATATTATTAGCCATTGAATGGTGTCTTTATACCTACTAAGGAGATCTTGGACCTGATCTGTTATGCAATTGTAGCCTTGCTAACAGATTGATTTTCTCTGAAATGCTAACTTTTATTCTTCAGTTTCTATTATGACAATTGGTGAACTAGCCAGGAAGTTTGTGAGAGGGAGCCCAGCCCCTGAGACAGCCCTCTTTGAGTAACTCCCTAGCATATACTCTAGTCAACTTTTCATCGAGGGACTTCTTCATGGATGACTGCCCCTGGGATCAGACTCTCCCTTGGCTTCAATCTCAATTCTTCTGAGGTAAGGTAAGCCCCTGGAATCCTTTCTATAGGAGAATCAGGCCCACAAATAGGGGATTCAGGCCCTTCTATAATGGTATCTGTACTGTCTATGGGGAATATGTCCCATCTGTAGTGGAATCCATCCCTTTTAAACAATGGGCTCTGATGTAGCTTACCAAAAAGTGCCACCCTCCCCCTTCCCCAAGAAATTTCTCATATGTTGGGACCAGGGGAAATTCTAAGTTCAACCAGAAATGACAAAAAAAAGGCACACTATTAAATTACGTGAAATTTGGCCAAAAAACATAAAAGATTCATCTGATAACTTATTCTGGCCTAAGCTTGGCACTTTTGATTTTTTTTTTAATAAAGTAAGTTAAGACCTGATATTGAACACCTCACCCAAAACAAATGGGCAGCCTTGTCTGAGGGTCATACCTGCAGCTTCTTAACGGGCCCTCAGCTCCTCCAACTTATTTTCCTTCTACTACGGTAGGGAATTTGATTTCTTTTAAAAATGAAAGACTGGATACTGGTATATTTCCTCTTGAGGAAAGATTTATGCGTGATATTACCTAGTCGGGAAATTTGGTACTTTTATAACTCAACCTTTTAGTCCTCCATATTGAAGAGGGTCACCCCTAAATTTGTTGAAGACTCTGTGGTAGTTATAACCCAATTTCAGACCATGTTTAGAGGTTATAATACTAACTGGGGAGATGTAGCTGATTGATGGAAACATTGTTCTCCCTGTGGGAAAGAACTGCCATCATAGAGGCAGCAAATAGACATGTCTCAGCTGGCACAATTCCTGCTGGCCCAAGGGAGCTTCCTAATTGGCCTTTACAAGACTCAGAGCAGAATCCTAACAATCCAATTGACTATACCAGGCTATCATAAGTTTGTTGATAATTGTTTTGTTAAGTTGTTCAGTCATATCTGACTCTTCGTGACCCCATGGATCATAACACTCCAATATCATCCATAGAGTTTTCCTGACAAAGACACAAAAGTGGTTTGCCATTTCCTTCTCCAGTGGATTAAGGCAAACAGAAGTTAAGTGAATAGCTTAGGATCACACAGCTAGTAAGTGTCTGAGACTGGATTTGGACTCAAGTCTTCCTGACTCCCAGCCCAGTGCTCTATCCACTGAGCCATCTAGCTGCCTCTATTACAAGTGAGGGGATCCTTAATCAGAGGAATGAAAGCATACAACATTCTCCCTGAAAATTGGAGTAAATTTCAAGAAATTATTCAGGAAGAAAACAAAACTCCTTACTGCTTTTATGACAGGTTGTGTAAAAGGGCTAAAGAGTAGGCAGGGTTAGATTCAATTAATCAGAGAGATGCTAGAATCATTAATTCTGCCATTGTTGACCAATCCATATCAGAAATACACAATTATTTCCATAAGAATCATCTCAGATGGCATGAAAAAAGCATTAGTGAGCTTGAATATTGCTCAATATGTTTTTGAAGAAAGGGGAAGGGAGAAAGTAAAACCTAAGCCAAAACCCCAAACACTCTTGGCTTTTATTTCCTTTTGAGCACTAGGTAATCAAGAATCATGAGTATGTATTTATTGGAACAGAATGGGTGATTTAACCAGGAAATGCTTTAAGTAAAGGCAAGATGCATGGAATAAAAAAATAGAAGGGACCCCTAGAGTGACCCAAGGAAAATTTACAGTTCAAAAATTTTGCACACTGTGTTTTTAAATTAAACTTTGAAGGAAAAACTTTGCTGACAAATATGTCTATGTATCTGTCTTATTGTAATTGTCTGGTTTTGTGCTAAGAAATTCTCTCTCTCTCTCTCCCCCTCCCTCCCTTCCTAACTCTGGCTAAGTTGGAAGAGCAGACAAGAGAATCACACAAAAAGGAAGGGAATCTTTGTTCTCAATTTGTAGAAATTTATGATACAGAAATTAAATTTGTAAATTCGCTACTATAAATTTCCAATTTTTAAAATTATGAAATATTTTATTGAATATATTTTTAAAAACTGCAAAAAATTTAGTGCAAGGGAGCCAGGTGATTTCACTGACAAAGAAATCAAATTCCCAATTCAGCAAGTGTGGTTCTGTTTTAGAAGAAATCGAAAAGAGGAACTGAACGTAGTATTGTTGATGTCAGATTTGGGAGAGCGAATTGAGTGTAAAATAAAATACTTAGAGGTTCTTGGTAGCCATTTGAAGCTTTATTAAGTGAAGCACATAGGCCTTGTTAATAAGAAGCTAATTAAAGGTGCTGATATTTGGGAACCAGACTTATCTAGAAGTTTCAGAATGATGAAGTAGTTTTAGAGTTTTTTTTAATGGGGGTTAAAGATTAAGGACAGCACAAGAAAGGATTCTATGATATAAGATGAGGGAGACAAAAGGAATTCTTTATGGTCTAGGATAAGGTTTTTAGAGTTTTATGGTGAGTTAAAGATTTAAGGACAGGGCTAAAGATTAGAGACAGGGAAGGGAGACAAAAGCAATTCTTTTCGAACAGCTTAAGGAGAAGTTTTATGGTATTTCAAGATAATGGGAAAAGGACTTTAGGATGCTCTCAAGCTCAGGAGGGGCCTCACAAACTACTGGAAAAGCAACCCTTAATATTCTTTTTAATCCCTAGGGTACCGTTTGTATCCACATCAGTATCAGTGAATTTCCAAAGGGAAAAGGGAAAAGTTATTTAAAGTAAGGAGCAATTTAAAAAGTAAAATTTAATCCGGAGTAATGTTTGTATCTGCTATGAATAACATAATAATATAACTTTACCTGGAAGCTTGGGACAAACTAGAAACAAAGGTACCAAAAAGTATTTGGATAGATCATGAATTTGTCAATTTTTGAGAACACCAAAGGCAACAGTATTGATGTTGTGTAATTAAAAACTTGTGCCAAATTGTAAGGTGAAAAATTCAGTAAAGATTAATTCTATAGATAGTCAGAAATATGATTAGGAAATAAAGATTAGAGGAATTAAGCAAATAAAAGAAAATAAGACAAACGTCAGATCAGAATATGAAAGAAACAATATTGGTGAAATTAAGGAAGTTGTAATCTGCACAATAGTGTGAATAGAGGGTTTAAATATAAAAGGTTTTGAAATTTTGAAAAAGAAGATTTGAGGAAAAATTTTGATGTCATTGAAATAAGAAAATTTACCAAAAGAGAACTTTTTTTTTTTTTTTGCTTAGGCAATTGGGGTTCAGTAATTTGCCCAGTTTCACACAGTTAGTAAGTGTCAAGTGTCTGAGGCCAGAGTTGAACTCAGGTCTTCTTGAATCCAGGTCTGGTGCTCTATCCACTACACCACCTAGGTGCTCCAAGAGAACTCTTAAAAGTAAAAATTTGCAGCATAAAATTACATGGATGTACATGCTAACATTTTGTCCTTGAAAGGGTGAATCCCATACTTGAGGATCTCCTAAGAATCAAGAAGGGGGATGGAAATATGAGGCTGAAGATTTCCTGTGATTAAAACTACAGAATTCTCTAAATTCCTAGGGAGGGGTGTATGGAAAGATAACGTGTGCACTTTATTCACACTCCTTAAGCATTGGGAGGAGCTAAATAAAACAGAAGAAAAAAGAATTGGTGATTTTGAGCTAACTGGGAAAAAGGTGGTTCCTGTAATTATGAAGTGCTTAGCACCTTGCCAGACCTGTGCAAAGGGTGAACAATGAATTATTTAGGTCTTATTAGGGATTCATTTGGATACAATGTTTCTTTGGTAATACTCTGACAGTTAAAAAGTGCTTTTCTAATGTGGCATTACCTACTTATAACTGCCCCATGATGTAAATTAGCAATTTGTTATGCTTATACACTTAAGAAATTCAAATAACAACTGAGAAATCAAAAACTAAATGTTTTAGCTCACTATTGAAAACAGGGCTCTGAAACTCTTTCAATTAAGCTTTAAAAACCAAAGAAGGCCTGGCAGGTGGTAAGTACTATATAAAAGTTGTTGTAAGTACTTTATATTGCTCTTGAATGCAATCAATATAGAATGCCAAAAGTGAGGAATGATTTGCTATGTAAGATTATTTGGAAATGAATGTGATTAAATTAATGTTACCTAATTGGCAATCAATTTTCAGATTTTAAATACATGATGCTGTGTATGTGGAAATTTTCTTATATTGTGAAACACATTGTTAGAAAAGTAACTTTTCCTTTTCCTCTAAATGGAGTAAGATTATAAATTGAGTTGTTAAAAGAATGTGATCAAATTATCCAAAAAAATTTAACTATTTTATGAGTTTTATTTTGGTTTCAATTGGATGATAACAATAACTTGTAATGAAGTCTTCTTTAAGATGTGAGGTTCCTTAGGGCATTTCTTGGGCAAGGTAACAAGATCTCATCAGCCCTGTTGACAGGTGTTGTGAAATTAAGTACAGAAGTTTGAGGAGTTAGGACCTCTCCCAGTGAAAGCAGAGAATTTTACAAATTTTCATTTGAGATTATTTGACTGTTACTTACAAAAATTATGAAATTATACATGTTAATGAATGGCATATGTTGGAATTACATCTTTGAGTTGACCTAGTAAAATGAGTGCAGCTAGGTGACACAGTGGATAGAGTGCTGGGCCTGAAGTCAGAAGACTCATCTTCATCTGTTCAAATCTGGCCTCATGTATTTACTAGCTGTGTGACCCTTGATAAGTCATTCAACCCTTGTCAAATCCTGAAAATAAATGACCAGAGAGTCTCAGAGGTTATGCAATTGCTGTTAACTCTGAAAAATACCAGAGGTCACAGAGGTAATACTCCAACTGTTAACTCTGAAAAACAAAATAAAACCAAAATGCTAACAGTGGTTGTAAGCAAAAAGCTTATTCCATTGAAGGAAGGAAACTAGACATGTGTGCTGGGGTCTTCTCTAGGAGCAGTCTCACTTTAGTGAAACCAAACCTTGGTACATATAGTAGTGGTTACACAGTGAACTGTAGCTGTGCTAATGAGACGGTAACAGCAACAATGAGGCATTTGATTCATAGTAGGGCTTCATGACCAAAACATGGATCCTACAGGTGCTTGTCCAAGCTCAGGGACTGCCTGGGGCAGGTGTGAAACAATTCTGTGATTTTATTGCAATACTGTTCATCCAGAAGGTGAGCACAAAGGATTGTTGTTATACCAAGCTCAGGGTGCATAGCTTACTTGCTGGGCCTTAGCTCTGGAAAATAGGGTGTCTCCTAATAGTAAAAAGAGAGGAATAAAAAGAAATGGGGATCTTGGTGCCTCGTTTGCCTCAGTTCCTTATCTATAAAATGAGCTGGAGAAGGGAGTGGCAAATCACTCCAGTCTCTTTGCCAAGAAAACCCCAAACGGGGTCACAAAGAGTTGAACAGAATTATAAAATGACTAAACAACAAAAAGTGAAATTAAACTTGAGATTCAAAGACTTCAATCTTGACTTACGGGTAAATGGACAATATAGATTAAAAGCCTACTATAATCAGTATTTTTCTGGGAATCAATATCATGTGCCAGAATGTAATAATTAATAATTCTTTAACTGTAAATGGAAGGTAAATAAAATGTCTTTATTGTTAACTATACATAATTGCAATATGAGAATAATAATAACAACCTAACCCCAAGTTATAATTAATGAAACTTTGTTGTTTAATGTAAAATCTTGTGAGATTGTACTTTGAAATTCTAAGTTTTGTTTTCAGGCATGAAATTATCTGAATTATCATGAAGTCAATGCTTCATCATTTAAGTGAAATAATAAATGTTGCCCAAAAGGAGCACAGTCTGAGAACTACTTCAGGTGGATGATTGTACCAGGGAAAAGTTGAAGTAGACAACCTTGCATAGGCTAAGGTAGGATTCTCTTGACTCAGTTTCCCATTATGTTATTTTTTTTCTGAACAGGAAAATTTCCCACCTGGTTATCTGAAACTGGCTTTTAAAAATCTATGAATAATATAGCTGTTAAATATGTTATGTGCCAAAAATCAAATGGAGGAAGGGGAGTTCTCCCTTGTTATGACTTAGTCAGTCTTACTATTATAACCATTTCCCTCTTTTTTTTCCTTTCGTAGTAAATATAAACAGGTCATTATTCATAGGATTAGAACCATAAGGGTTGAACTGGTTTTCACCACATAAACAAATTTTTGGAAAACTAAATTTAAGAGGTTATCTTAAATTATATTGAGTCTTGTTATTGGCAAGTGGAACCAGAGAAGCAGATCTTCTAGGAGAAGCCCCTTCGGAGCTGCCCAGAGGATGGGACATATTCCAGAATGCCCAAGAGAAGATGTTTCCAGAGACCAAACAACTACACAGGACATCTGGGACTTAGTATGAAATGTGCCATTTAAATGAACATTGAGAATGGGTTGCCAGGTTGCAGGGAGAATCAATGTTATTAAATCTTCCACTGGTGTTATCTCCACTGTTAGACTGTGAACTTTGAGCAGGAACTGTTTGTACTCCCAACATTTAACATGTGTTTTTGTATTCTTTCCTTAATTGTATTGTTTTGGCCTTTTGCTTCATGGTCTTTGGTTTGCTGAGTTTTCTTGAAGTAACCCTCTGAAGTGAGTGAAGTCCAGAAAAATAAAAACCCTTGGTTGTTAATTCCATACATTGAGGTCACTGCCTTAGAGCAGGCAGATAGAAATCCTTCCCTTGAGATCTGAGATTAAGAAGTTGGCCCAGGCCACACGTGAGTCTATCACTCCTTTCAAATTGAGATAGAAAGCTTATTTTAGCTCCACAAGGAGGGGCCTGTGCTAAAATCAATCCTGCTATTCCTATATTAATCAATCAAGAGAAATTGTTGCAAGTCTCCACCAAAGTCAATAGGTTATCACAAAATTCAACAGACTATAGCAGAAACCCAATTGCCTAATGAAGATACCCCATTGTGGGACCCCTCTTCCTGATTTTCTTAGTTTTCTTCCTAGAGTACACATATTGACTGCTGTAGTCAAATAGGTTCTTATTATCCTAGGCTTCATAATTGTCTTTTGGCTTTGTGCTATTACTTGCTATACAGATCACAAAATGGATTCTATTTACAAGACGGAATTGGTTTGGTTCTGATTCCTAATAATCTGATGATGGTTCAGATTATTGATTACAACAAACCTTATGCAATTGACATTGGGTAAATGATTCACGGGGAACAGATTCTCCAAGAATCAAAGATGGGAATTGTGAAATTCAATATTAACTCTATTTTGTTTGGTTCTTTCAAATATTGATTGCCTTCCATTTTGTGAGCTAGGCCTTGAATTAATATAAAATTGTATGATTATGGAGAACTAAATTGTTGAGACAATTCTGAGAGATGGGGGTAATGGGTGTTGACCACAAAATGTTCTGTGCATTTTGTGATATTTCTTGTAATAACCACAGACTGTCCTGAGATGTTTGTAAAATGTTCCAGGATATACTGGAAATAATCACAAAATGTAAAACTCTGGCCAGTCATAAGAGAGAAGGCCCATATTAATCAAGATTATATAAATTGATTGGTTCCTCATCATTCGCTATAAGAAAGCTCTGTTAGCCCTTGAATCTACTACTGGGGAAGTCTTGAACCTGATTTGTTATGCAATTGGCAGGCTTTCTAATAAACTAATTTGCTCTAAAACTCTCACCTTGTTTCCTCAGTTTCTATCACAACAGTATCATGGTACTACAGTACCTAGGATCAATTCACTCCCAAGTCAGTTCAAACCAGACTAACTTCATTTTCTTTTTTCTGACAAGAATACTAGATTGGTAGATGTGAAGAATGCTGCAGATACACTTTACCTAGATTTTAGTCCAACATTTAACCAAATGTCTCAAGCTATTGTTGTGGAAAAGATGAAGAGATGCCAGCCAATTGATAGTATGGCTAGGTGGATTCAGAATTGGTTGACTGACTGGAACCAATGAGTTATCATCAATAGTGCCATGTCATCTTGGAAGGAGATCTCAGGTGACGTGTCCTAAGGATCTGTGCTTTGCACTGGACTGCTTAATATTTTTTATCAATGATGTGGATAGAGGCATAGAGACCAGGCTTATCGGATTTGCAGATGTCACAAAGGTGGGGAGATATGACTATCACAATGAATGACAGAGTCAGGATTCAAAAATATCTCCATAGATTAGCATGTTCAGCTAAATCATAAGATAAATTTAAAATCTTATACTTGGGTTCAAAAAATTAAATTCACAACTATAAGATGGTGTAGATGTTGCTAGAAAGTCTAAGAAGGTCTGGGAGTTTGAATGACCTCTAATCACTATGTGGTGATCAAGGAGCCAAAAAAGCTGATTTGATATTAGGAGAAGGACAACGTATAGAACTAGGCAGGATTAATACCTTGCCCTGGTGAGACCACACTTGCAATACTGTTTAATTCTGGGTTCCATATTTGAAGTAGGATATTGATAACCTGGAAAGAATTCAGAGAAGAGCAACTAGGATGATGAAAGACCTTAAAATCATGTCATATTAACATCTAACTGAAGGAACTAGGGATCCTTAAGCCTAGAAATGAGAAGGTATAGGTGGGACATATACTTGAAGAGCTGTCATTTGGAAGAAGGATCAGACTTTCTCTGCTTGGGCTCCTAGTGTAGTACTAAGAGCAGTGGGTTGGCATGCAAAGAGGTAAATTTGATACTCGAGCTAACAAAACATGTTCTTGCAATTAGAACTATCCAAAAGTGGAATTGGCTGCCTAGAGATTTGATGAGTTCTCCCTCCTCGGATATCCTCAAGCAAAAGTTGAAAGAGGGATCCTGGTTCAGCTACTAGTTAGGCTAGAGGCCTCTGAGGTCACTGCATGCAATTTTAGGATTTTGGGTGGACATCTACTTGAGCTCCTAAGGCCTGTTTCAGTGGACACCTCTGGCATCTTCCTTTTCCTGGAGCTCTTACCTGATAGGGACATCCATCCCAGATTATCTTTACCTCCCATAACCATGGCTCCTGGAAGAAATAAAGAACAACAACCATTCTGCAAAGCCAACTTGGAACTAGACCCCACTTGATTACATAGTTTAGTTTTTTATTAATCATTACAGATTAAAAAGTGGGCAGGAGATGCTGTAAAAGCTGACAAGATGCTGACTCCAGCTAACTCTCCTGATAGCTAACTTCCTCTTTTTTTCCACAGCCAAGCTCCTGCAACTTAGCTGTCAAGTTCCCCGTGTCTATTAAAAGCCCCTGCCAGCCTAAGTTCTTTGCTACCAGTAAAAGTCATAGTTATTATGTTCAAATGCAAGTCATATGAGGATGGAAAACACCCTGAGCTTTACTAACCTGCCAAAATTTCCCATTCTCATGGAAATCCCTGTTCTTGTCAAGGATGGTTACCTGAGATTGGTTTCCATGACAATAGAAGGCCCCAACCAATCAAGATTTGTAAACACTCAAGTAAATCAATATAACATTCTTCAATTTGAACTCTGTGTTCTTCATCTATTGTTTATGCTCCCCATGCTTATGTTCCTCATTTATACCTATAAAAATGCTTTGTAAACTCTATTTTAGGTCCTTGTACCAACTGAGGCAGTTTCAGACCTTCTTTATTGGCAAATTGCTAGCCATTGCTAATATATTGGTTGTTTGGAACTTTTTTTCTTTTTCCAGGATGACCCTTTGGAAGATTTTTCCCAGAGCCAGAAACAGCTGATTTCACCAAGAATTTCTCTTTGAGGTACCACCTCTCAAGGTTGAATTCCCCCTGAAGTCCAAAACAAATTTTCTCTGAGCCCAGGTAAATTCTAGGAGTATCCTTTTATCTAGTTTAATTGGGGAAACCTAGGGGATTCTTTTAACCCTTCCTCTATTTTGATTGGGGGACTCTTTAATCCCTGTATTCAGTTTGACTGGGGAGCTCTTTTCACCTTTCATCTGTTCCAATTTGACCAAGTGATTCTTTCAGTCCCTTTATGTATCTGGATTGGGGAATCTTTGTGAGTGGGCCCCTATAGGTAAAAGAGTTCTAAAGAGTTTTCTTTTATCCTTTTCTTGCTGTAGCAACCAGCAAAAGACCTAGAGGGGTGATGTGCTAATAACTTCGCAGCTAGCAGGGACCTGACTTTCACTCCTCTAAGTTAAAGTTATGGAGGAAGATGTTGCCAAGGGCCTCCATCCTGGGTATGCTTGCATTAAGAGAGTAAACTGACTGAGTTGGGACACCTCAGGGAATAGTTATGGCACTTCAGACTTTGAATTGGAGAAACTAACCAATGTGATGTAGATTCTCTGTATCAGATACAATGAGGTCTTAAGTTTATGACTTAAGTCACTTTGCCATCAAAGGAAATGCCACTCCCAGTCTTGGGAATCTATCTCCACCCGAACCTGAGTAGGATAAAATCAGTTCAGGTCTGGGTTGGAGTTTGACCAAGACAAGAAGAGTCAATGAAATCTCATTATCTGTGATGTCCTTCTGAAGAACTTTGGAGGGAAGACTGGCAGGAGGAGCTCTGATTTCTACGACACAGATTACCGAGAGAAATCATTTTTTTTACAACATGTATTATACACACACACACACGTATATGTATATGTATATATATATATGTATGTATGTGTGTAAACACACACATTTGTGCCATGTCTAGGATGGAGTGGGGTGGAGAAGGAAGAAAGAAAGAGGGAAGAAAAGAAAGAAACAAGAAATTTATAGGATAACTTTGTTGTCTTTTTGAAGGGAATTACAAGTTGTATATGGTGGATTTGCAGTTTCATGTGCAATAATCCTTTTTATTGTGCTATGTTGTGGATTTGCTTGTTTTATTTCATCAATTAAAACTAAAATAAATTTTTAAAAAACAGATATTGACATCTAAAGATCGTAGACAGACTTGAGAGTTTTTTTTCTCTGTGTGTGTATGCATGAGTGTATGTGTCTCTCTGTGTGTATATGGGCATATCCGTGTGTGTGTGCCTGTGTCTGTATGTCTATTACAGAATGATCTATTCTGGTTTGTTTCATGAGTCATGTTATGTCTTAGGTAAGTTTTGTTCCTATGTCTCAATGTATGTGCCTCAATAGAGAAGTAAAGCTTGGAGCTATTCCAAACTGCAAAAGCTCTGTCAAATCAAATCTGTTCAGTGTGCTTAAGCATCTGTCTCATTTACAATCTGTTCTAGATATAGATTCTGATTCTGAATTGTAAGTGATAGAGCAAGTAGAACAGAATTTTATACAGTTAGGGAAATCTTTGCTGCAGGCAGAACAGCTTTTCCCACAGTTAGAGGAAGAGAACCTAGCTCTCTTAAGAATAAAAGGTTTCTTATTACAAACAGGGCAATTCCATTTAAGGGTGGAAGGATCTCTTAAAGTTTTTAGATAAGAAACTTTGGATAAAAGACTTCTGGGTTTGATTTCTGATTCTGTAGAGGGTGCACAGGTCAGTTCAGACCCAGATTGGCAACAGACAGGAAAACTTCTGTGGTGCAGAGATAGCTATTGGAAGATAAGACTTGTTAGAAGGACAGTATGTAAGTTGAAAAGCAATGGGGAATATTAACAGCATCCCTACTGGGACTACGTTGGAAAGCATTTTGAAATTTTGGGATCAAGGGAAACTCCTTGTTCATCTAGGCATGATGAAGGGACATGCTATCAAGTTATGTGAAATTTCTGGCAAAAACACTAGGAACTTGGCTGATAAATTATTTTGGCCCCAATTTGGCACCTTTGGCTATTGTTTATTAAGAAACAAAAAAAAAACCCAAAAAACCCCTACAGATTGCTATAGAAACTCTTACAATCTTTGGGATCTGGGTGACTGCAGAAGGTAAGCCACTTCTCCCTTGGAACTTCTATCACCAGGTATGATGTTCTGTTTATAAGGTAGGGGGCCACGATGGCATTCAGGGAATGGTAGATAAAATAAAGATAAAACAGTAGGGTTGCTTCTGGCATCACCTCTGTTTGTTCTGCTTTCCCAATCTTCCAGGCATCCAAACAATATAACATGTGGCATTCAGAGGATGCCCTTTAGCATATATTCCATTTGAGTACTTGTAAATTGACTTTATCACATGCCTAAGGCTAGGTATTATATTTACTGTTTCCTAAGTGTAGTAGATCAGTTCCCTCACTAAGTTGAGACATTCCCTGGATCTAGGGCCACGCCTGCCTTTGTTGTTAAAATTCTTCTCAAGGAAATTGTTTCTTGTTTTGGACCATCAGCCCAGATAGATTCTGATTGGGGAACCCACTTTACTGACAGTGTTTTCCCAGATCTGTTCCACTCTAGGGATCACCCCCAAGTTCCATACCCCTTATCATCTTCAGAATTCAGGCTAGATTGAGCATATATACAAAGAACTCAAGACTTTAATTGGCAAATTGAGCCCTAAAACCCACTGGAAATGGCTTTAGCTTTGTTCCTCTAAGAATCAGACCAAGGGGGAATTATATATCTCCTTATGAAATGCTCTTTGGTCATTCTCTTCACAAATCAAAACCTTTCCCCCTAGAATATACACTCTTTCAGGGATGAGTCATACCTATTGCTTCTTACATATGGGAATTACAGAATAGACTGAAAAAATTTCATGGGGTAGGAGCTGCAGTACAGACTGGACCACTGGACTTTTCACTGCTTTAGTTTCTACACTGATGATAAAAATCTATATCCATCTATATCAAGAACTGCCAATGATCTGGGGGAACTCAACCTGCCTGGGAAGTCCCCTTCCAAGTACTTCTGGCCATCCCAAATACAATCAAAATTGGAGAAAAGGATTCTTGGATACACTGTTCACCTGTGAAACCTGCCCCTAATGCTGATACTCCTTTAACCAATAAGGTATGATAGCCACAGGCTGCCTATTGTTATTGCTATCCCAAACAGCCCTCTAGCCTTGAGTAAACACTTCTGAAAAGGTAAAGGGTCAGAAGTTTCAGAGTGAATGGATATTTTTTTCCTTACCATTTCTTTTTGGCTTCACAATTTTTAGAGCCATTATATGTAGAATTGCCAGAACAGAACCAGGCTCACCACCAGCCCTTTCTCAAGCCTTGCTTTCCTGATTGTGCTATTATTACCCATTGCTCCTTCTAGCCCAATCAATCTGAAAGGTCAGAGGACTAACAAACAATTTCCTGACAAGTCAGAAATTTCCTAGCAGGTTAGAAGGTTAGTTAGCTTGAATGGAGAGGTGGCAGCCATATACTCGACACAATACTCATTTTCTTTTGCTCATTTTGTTGTGTGCCAAGCTCTTTTGCTGTCACTTTTGGATCATAAGACACACGCTTCCTTTTGCCTGTGGAGGATTCCAGCCAAGATATTATTGTGGCAGGGACCAGGGCTTCTGCACAGCCTAAATTGGTGTCTTAGGCCTGGCGGGCTCGGTCTCCTCTTCTACCTTCCACCATGTGGACTACCTTTGTAAGCACTCAGGCACCCTCTCCCAGTGATGACCAAAGAAGTGGGGTCTTATGGGGGTATAGTTTTAGTTCTGGACCCAACATCATATTTCCTTGGGAGAAGCAGGCAACTACCATAAAAACCTTGTCTGAGACCCCAAATCTTCTAAATTCTATTGCTTCTACTATTCTCAGAGTGATAGGAACATGAAACCAGAAAGAATTCTCCTTTATGCTAATTATTCTGTCACTTGTTTTCATTTTTAGCAGGTCTTCCTGACTTCGTCTACTGACTGTACTAGTATTACTGTCTCTGGCCTTATCTGACCAAGAATTACATCTTTCTAACAATGTGTGGGTGAGACATACTGCCACTATCAACACCAACAGTTAAATAGGATATAATTTATGAGATGCCAAAAGTCATTGGGCCTCATGGCTGTTGGGTTTATCATCCCATTCATCAAAGTACTCCCAATTCATGCCAATGCAGCGCAATGACATCATACCACTGCTGGCTGGCACTAAGGATGTGGATATCCCATCAAATTTTTTACTCGTCTTTGCTCCATTCTTTTTTGCTAACTGTAAGTTAAGCAGCACAAGTTTTAATATAATAGATTTTACACAGCCAGTAACCATTACTGCTAAGCCTCTTAAGTATGCCCAGATTCTCACCACAGCTGGAGTCAGTCCCTCTTTTTACAAAACAAGGATGCTCCTTCTTTAATTAGCATGATTTAATAAGACTAGGACCAATGACACCTTCATAATTTTGGGAAACTATTAAGTGAAATTACACTTTCCCGGTTCAGGACAATATCAGAACTTCAGATAGCAGTACAGTCCCATAGCAGAACTATAACTCTACTACCCTTACTTATAATAACAGAATAGACCTCCGAACCATACCAAAGAATTCCAGAGATGCCATGGGGACTAGTGACTCAGGGCCAGTTTTTCATTTGTTCAGGAGAAACCTTTGCCTTTTTCCCTTGTGGCTGGTATTGAACTTATGGGGTATCGTGCTTAACTGCCTACAGTATCAGTGTTTAATCATTCAAGGGGTTTAATATGAAAAAAAAAGGATACTAGGAATGTACAACCATGTTGGCATTCCATAGAAGAAGAAACATGAAACAAACCCCAATGTACAAAATTGGGTACAACAGTATAGGCATGTGAAAAAGTTTTCTGGATCACCTTCCCAAGTATGGGCATGAATAGAATGTTTCAGTCAATAAGGAATGTCTCTGCTGAGGTTGAAGAGTTACCATAAGATATGATTCAGGCCAAAGCCCAGACAACCAGTACTATCACTGCCGTGCAAGTGACAGTACTGACAGAATGGATTCCATTGTAGAAATGGTGTTAGAACATGATCTGGTATTATACTTACCCCACTGCTGCCCAGAAAAGAGCATTCACCGTCTTCAATCAGAGCTACTATTCCTACATTGATTGGTCAGGAGTTATTATCACCAATGTCTGTGAGCTTCAACAAATTATGTCAGATACTCAGCAAAGTGCCAATGAAATTTGTACAAGAAAGTTTTTCCCGGTTTTCTTTATTATTTTCTTGGTTTCAAGGGAAAGGCATATGTGTCACTGTAATTAAGTGGGCCCTAATAAGGGCCCTGGCTTACATTATCATTTTTCTTCCCTGTATTCAGCTCTGTACTAAATGTTGAGTTAAAACATGCTCAGAGTTAATTCCTAGATACATTATGGTAATACATTAGTTAAAAATGATGCACCTCAGAAATCAGAATATGCTAGATTATATGATTTCTAATAACCTACTCTCTGCTTCTGTGATCATGCTTTCTGTCAATATAGAGTAATTTTTTCCCCATAACGTAGTATAATAAAAAAAGATTACACATGAATTTGAATATCTATTATTTACAATTTGCTAATCCTTTTAAATATATAATAAAGTTATCATGTAAATTTCTTTTCTTTTTTTTCCTTTCCCCTTACCCTAGAGATGTCTACCAGTAGATACAAATATGTATGTATGTAAAATTATTTTATACATACTTCTATTTATCAGTTCTTTCTCTGGATATAGATAGCATCTTCCTTTGTATGTTCTTTGTAGTTAATTTGGGTATTTCTAATAGTCAAAATGACTTATTTCCCCAGACTTGTTCTTAAAACAGTATTGCTATTACTGTATACAATGTTCTCTTGGTTCTGCTCATTTCACTCCATTATTTCATGCAAGTCTATCCATGTTTCTCTAAGACCACCTAGCTCATCATTTCTTATATCACAATAGTATTCCATCACAATCATATACCAGAACTTGTTCAGCCGTTCTCTAAATGACAGGGATTCCTGCAATTTCCAGTTCCTCACCACCACAAA